AATTTCAGGCCTGATTTGCACTGATTGATTCCTTTCCTTACTTGGTTGTCTTCCTCCGTCTCCCTGAGCATCGTCTGCAGCCGCCGTACCATGCTCCTCCTCCGCCACTTTCTGGGGGCAGTTTTCTGCCGCATGTCCATAAACACCGCAGTGGAAACAAATTTGGTACATGCCTTCATACTCTATTTTCCGCACCTTCATTTTGGCAGTGAATTTAGATAGGAGCGGTTTTGTAATGTCAACTTCCACACACATTCGAGCAAACCTGCCTTTTGATCCTATGCTCGTGGCTTCGTCAATGTATTTTGGTTCTCCAATTTTCCTTCCAAGTTTCATTAAATACGGATAGTCATAGTATTCCATTGGAAGATCAGGGAACCGAACCCATACCAGTACTCGTTCAGTCTTGTCCGTCTTAGGATCGAAATTTGGCTTCCAATCCTGGACAATTAGGTAGTGATCCATCACCGACCAAGGCCCTCCATACTTGGCAAACTCATAATCCTCAACAGACCAAAATCTGACCACATGATAAAAGTCATCCAGCGCTACTACATTCATCCTTGATTTTGGTCTCCAGATTGCATTCAGGCGTTTAGTAAGATAGGTGTAGCCAACTTTTCTGCCTAGTACCTTTACAATTAAGGATTGCCGCCATGGTTTCCTCATTCTGATCTTGTCTTCCCTTGTTAGGGGAATTTCTGGGCACTCTGGATCCTCGTCTGGGTCCACTTCATCATCATCCGACTCCAAGTACTCAGGTTCCTTCTCCACATACGCTCCCCCAGTAAGCATGTCTCTAAAGGAAGTAGGTGGTGGATGCGTCGCAGGTTGTGTCCCCGAGCCACCTCCAACAGGCGTTGCATTCCTCTGTTGAAACTCAGTCCCAGGCACTTGATTATTTGTCAAACCATTCACGCATGGCAATGCATCCTTCTGGTGCATCTCATAAGGAGGGGCTTGATCATTGATCCTGCCATCTTCTCCCATTGTTTGTTCGATCCCATCCATATCAACTCATTCTTCTTCCGGTGTTAGTGCCACTCCCGTGGTTTTTGGTTTCTTGGTGCTTCGTTCCAGGAGGTCTTGATCCTCCGCTGTCCTTAGCGCCGTCGTCACGGCTCTCACATGAGTTTCCGGTGGTTTTGTTCTAGAGAGCATTTCGTTTCTCTGATTGGACGTAATTTGGCTATAGTTGAATTGTAATTCAGTGGAAATCATAATTATGCTGTTTGGTTGGAGAGAATTGCAATTTCAACTTTTGTTGAATTGTAATTCATGACACCCGTTATGAATTGCAATTTGGTGGTTGTGGGAAAAAAGGGATGAAATGACAAAAGTATTCTTAATTATTACTATTATTATTATAACACAAGGACATTTTAGTTTTTATATCACTTCTTTCGTTCCCTACTCAATAATTCTATTCATCCCTACCAAACAATGTAATTTGAATTTCTATTTTATTCCCACCTTATTCTTTTCCTACCGAATTGTAATTCCTTCCCACTCTAATTCCTTAATCCCAACCAAACACCTGTTAACTTTTTATTATTTTATTAATATTAAGTGGGCTTATGCTTTATTTGGACTGTTAATCTTATTAACGGTCCAATTGGTTGTGTCCTTGATATGTTTTTGAATTTTGTTTCAGCCGTTGGGCTGTTTATGCTTTAGAATTTGGGCTCTTAATTGAGGTGCATTGCATTTTATTTCTTGTAATTTCAGGGGTATGCAACGTTATCACTAGTTATATCGTGGACCGCGGTGCATAATCGATTATGCAACGCGCATCAAAATAACGCCATTTTTTTAAGTAAATAAATGGCGCGGTGTTAGCGTTAACGGAGTGACACTACAGTGTATCTAAACCAACACTGCCTCACGTATTATTTTTATATTATCAAATGATCAAATGAAACTGCAGTTATATCAAAATAATACTGTAGTTGTGGTGAAATGAAACTGTATTCTATATAAAATGAAACTGAATAACATTTCACATATTTAAATGTATATTGTACAATGAAACTGTAATTATATCGAAACGATCATGTAGTAGTGTTTTAATGAAAGTATAGTGTATATAAAATAAAATTAAATAACATGTTCAAATATTTGAGTGTATAAATATTGAATGAAATTGTAGTTATATCGAAATGAAACTGTAGTTGTATTGAATTGAAACTGCAGTGTATACAAAATGAAACTGAAGAACATAGTTACTTTTTACGGAACGGTGCGAAACGGATCCCGTTTCTTTTCATTAAATAAAACGAGTTTGTTTTGATGCACGGTGCATAATCGATTATGAACCGTGGTGCACGATATAATTTGGCCAACGTTATGTTGTGCAACCGTGTGCACCATGCAAGGTGCATACAATTTTAATTCATAATTTCTATACTATAGATTTATAATTTCTATTTTATAGATTTATAATTTCTATATTGTAGATTCATAAAATCTATACTGTAGATTCATAATTTATAAACAATAGATTCATAATTTAAATACAATAGATTCATAATTTCTATACAGTAGATTCATAATTTCTATACTGCAGATTCATAATATTTGTATTGTAGATTCATAATTTCTAAACTGTATAGTTATCAAATTATGAACATATAGTTATGTGGTTTATGAATACAGAGTTCAACAATTGAGAATATGAACATCGAAAATTATGAACATATAGTTATATAATTGTGAATATAGAGTTCAATAATTATAATATGAAGTTCAAAAATTATGAATATATAACTTTATAATTATGAACATATAGTTCAGTAATTATAAACATAAAACAGATGGTGCACACGGTTGTACAGCACAATTTGTGCCCCAGTGAAATGTGTACGACAAATTATGTTGTGGAATCGAGTCCACCTTGCAAGGTGGACACGATTATAAAATTGTTCTTTGTATAAGGATTATTTCATTTGTTATTTGTCAATTCTAACGGTAAATTAATAGAATTTTTAACAAAAGATTAATGGTGACAATCAAATGAAAGTCATTGATGTAATATGACAAAAATAAAAGAATAAGACTAAATGTGATAATGCCACAATAATCAAGGATTAAAAGTGGAAGTTATTCAAAGTCATAGATGTAATATGACAAAATTAAAAAAAAATATGATTAAATGTGATAAGACTATAATAGTTAGAGACTAACAGGGCGTTTGGTTGGAGGGATTTTAAATTCCCTTCCCACTTAATTCCCACCTAATTCCAAAGGCCATTAAATTCCGTAGTTTGGTTGGAGGGAATTACAATTCCATGGAATTGCAATTCCCCCATTTTCATGGAATTAAAATCCCATGTCCCCCCTGGTATTTTAATTCCTGGGAAAAAAAGATAGTGATGAGTCAACATTACCCCTTCTTTTTTTAACTTAAAATTAATGTCTAACAACAATAATAGACATTTTTGACTTTATACTACTTATTCCCTTTCAATTCCCATGTATATCAAACGTTGGAATTGAAATTCCCAGTAATTCTATTCCTGTCAACCAAACACTGGAAATTAAATTCCCACTTTATTCCCAGTAATTCAACTCCCATGAAATTACAATTCTTTTCCCACATAATTCCCCCCTCTAACCAAACGTCCTGTAAAAGTGAAATTTATTCAAAATTAAAGATGTAATATGACAAAATTAAAAGAATAAGATTAAATATAGCAATCCCACAATTATGGAATTTGCTCATTTTATAAATTAAGAAGAAGACTGTGACTCCACCGACCACCATGTGAATTATTGTGAAGTGTTGGTTTCTTGGATAAGACTCCAACCAATCAGCGAGCTGTGACCCCAAAATTTGTGGCGTGTTAAGGATTATATATTTGACCCATTCTTATCTTATATTCTTATTAACAAAAGCAGGTAGTCAGACTCAATTGAGAAGGTATTGCGGGTGTTGATAAATAGTTATTAGCTCATTGAGTTAATGAATTTGGTTAATTAATAGCATTAGTTGATCGAAAAAAATTATTTTTATAGTTTTTTGACTTTTAGCATTTTGGAGCAACAAGTTATTACTAAAAAGTTAAATTTTTTTTTTAATGATACTGACTCTATTAAAATATAGTATCCGTTCATAACTATTTTCTCAACGTACTGAAGCACAAAGAGCCAATAACACTCCCACTGAAACTCAAACTTACAACCTCACATATGGAAGTCCAAAAGTTAATTAATCAAATATTTATATTGATTGTTTAACAAAGTCAAACAACTAATAGTGATTCAATAAACTAAAATTGACTAATGAACTTAATATGCTAATAACATGACTATTTTTTTAGATCATATAGAAAGAGTGCCCAAATATTAGAGCATCCACACTAGTGGATAATGTGGGCAGAATGTAGCATTAATTCACTCCATTCAAGTTTATAGCTAATGTGTGGGAGAATTAATTAGGGAAGAATTCATCTGCAAAATAGGAAATAATGACAGAAAAAGAGGAAGAAAAAAAAAAAAAGAAACATGGGGCTACTGTGCGTGTTTCGCGCACAGCAGCCCGCCCACACTGGCGCGTGCAAAGCACGCGCCGAACGGCATGCCTGACAGTTCTTTTTTTATTTTTTATTTTTGCTTTTGTTTTTTTATTTTGGTTTTTTTGTTTTTTTTTTATCCCCTTCCCACATTCTCTCTCCTAATCACTCTTACATTATTCCTCAATTCTCTCCAACTAATGTGGATGCTCTTACTAAATATGGTCATTGATAAAATAAAACTCGCCTCTCAAGACAATAAGTATACCTTTGAGTCTAAGGGTAATATGTCCAAATACCATAACACAACTTTTTACTTCAATAGAGTACTATTTCTTCCGATTCAAAATGAGGACACCACTAATCCATTTCTTTAAATAAAGTACCAAAATCAAAAGAAGCAGCATTTGCGGCTCATTATTATGCTCTTTTCATCTAGTCTTTCATTTACTTTCTGGTTTTAAGCAATAATATTAAGACGAAAAATGATAATCATATAAGTAAAATTCTCCATATATATATGCCTAGATCAAAATAAAATAGAGTACACCATCATCATCAATTAGTAAAAAAAGGAAGCTATTATCTGATCTCCAAGACTCCAACAATCGTGGAATTTGGGAATGCATATTTTAACAAGGATTAACATACTTTGTATAATACAATATATAGATTTAGACAAAATTCACATCAAATCTCAATCTGAAAAAAAAAAAAAAAAAAAAAACATGAGCTGAGATGAGTTAACTCGCTCCATCGTCAATTGTCAACTAACATAAACAGAAGAAGCCGATTGGATGAGCTTGTTCGCAGCCGAGAGCTGATCCATCAACGCCGTAACGCGTGCTCTGTACGCTCGAGCCTGATCGACGGCCTCCGCTTCCAGCTCGCCGAGTTGCGAGCTCAGCCGCTCCTCCGCCTCCTCCGCCACCCTCAATCTCTCCCAGATTCTCTCCATCTCTCTCCGCATCTTCTCCTCCCTGTCTCGACTGTTTTTCAGCTCTTTCTCCAGCTCCTCGTTCCTCCTCCTCAGCTCCTCCTCCGCCACCGCCGCCGCTCCCGGCTGAGATTCGTGGCGCCGCACGGCAAGTGTTGGAGCCATCGATCGATGCCTTTAGCTCTGGACCGATGAAATTAGTGTGTGGCTTAGACTTGTGGATGGTGGGAAGATGCGTTGAGTACTAAGCGGCTTTATAGAAACAGTCAAGCAGATTGCGAGTGTGTCCAGGTTCAATGTATCTGATGAGGAGATGGAAATGAAAATAAGAATAGGGACTGTTTTGTCATTTCCGCACGCCCAGCTCCAAATTTTCACCAATTGACTTTTCCTCTATGTAGAAAGACGTGACGCGGTGTCGTGTAAATTGGTTTTTTATAACGTCATTGGATACGATCGTTAACCGGCGTTGAAATTTCAGGAGATTTTGCCTTTATTTTCGAACCAATAATCAAAATTAGAGAAATTTCTACCGGATCTAAGGACTTCATTTTATGTAACAATGTTAATATCTTCTGGTCTAACGGCACGAAGTGACTCTTTCAAATAAAAGGTAATGAGTTTGATCTTCACTTAGAGCGATATTAATTCAATGTGTTTCGGTATGTTGAGAAAATATAATTGACTCAATTGAGGAGCTAGCTAAATTGACATGCCTAATTCCTCATTGAATCAATTGAGGTTGATGTTAATCGAGACATCTCTTGCCATAATTTTTCTATTTGGTTCAATCATTTGCACCTTGTCAGTCATTCTGCATGATTAATACATGGACTTCACCTTGAGTTCTTCTATCTATTGGGCTCTATAAGCTTCTAAGCTTACTAACTTGTTTTCGGGTTTGACATATTAACGTATAAAGTATTTCTTACATACTAATATAAGAGATTCTTAAAATGATTTTGTACTTCATTTTGTCACATCTTTTAAAATTACACGAAGTATAAAAATAAATCTGTGATAATTTGCATCATGCTCACTCTTATAACATGAAGTTAATAATCAAGTTAAGAAAATTGATCTGTTACTAAAATGTCACACAAATTTTTTTTAATTTTTTTTTGATGTAAAATTTTTTTTTTAATTTAATTTACTTTATTATATAATTTGTTAGTGAAATTTACGGTGTGCACACTAAATAATAGTTACACGTCTCTCCGTTAACTAAATAAAATAATTTGTGCAATTCAATTGCGCAACGATTCACGTGGGAGAGATACATTTCATTTGGTATGGTGTCAACATCAAAACTGTAACATTTCATTTCGTAGTGCCTATTTTGGGTGACCATAATATAATATAATACTGAAATGTTACATCATTGCATATTTACATAAAAATTGCACGTAAATTATTATATAGACTTGGGTCCATAGGTGAATTGAATTTACATACTAAATGTTTATAATTTACTTTTCAAAAATTTATAATTTGTATATTACGAACACACAATATTAACATATATATGATTAATTACCTTGTTTTGTATTTACAAATTCTTTTCAAATACTGCAGTCACACAATATTAACAGATTAGGATTTGATGATCATGTATTGTATTTACAAATTTCATTCTACAGTTGTTATGTGTTTTGACTTAGAAACATAATTTATATTCTAAAAATTTTACAATTCCGATACTAAAAATATACAATTTATATGTCATTTAGGACCATGATCCACCTAGAAATGTGAATCCTGGTGCATGGTATAACAACTCAAAATTGCATGTACTCTACATTCTCTTCACCGCCAAAATAACTAACCCAGGTTATTTGTCCCCAATTTCCCGCAAATTATATCGTGCACCGTGCATCAAAACGACGTCGTTTTGTTTAATGAAAAGAAACGACATTCGTTTCACGCCGTTCCGCACCATTCCGCAAAAAGTAACTCTGTTATTCAGTTTAATTTTGTATACACTGCAGTTTCAGTTCAACACAACTACAGTTTCATTTTGATATAACTACAGTTTCATTCGATATTTATAGACTCAAATATGTGAAAATATTATTTAATTTTATTTTATATACACTATAGTTTTATTAAACACAACTACATGATCATTTTGATATAATTACAGCTTCATTGTACAATATACACTCAAATATGTGAAATGTTATTCAGTTTCATTTTATATATATTGCAGTTTCATTTTACCACAACTACAGTATCATTTTGATATAACTGCAGTTTCATTTGATAATATAAAAATAATACGTGAGTTAGTGTCAGTTGGTAATTAACATATAAAAAATGCGCGCTCCGTTAAAATTAACGGCGCTCCGATTCTTTACTTAAAGAAACGGTGCCATTTTGACCGCAGTGCACCACAATATAACGCGCAAATTATGCCATGGAATCGTGTTCACCGAGAATGGTGAACACAGGACAAAACGACGTCGTTTTTAGGCAAAAAAAAATAATTTCGCGGATGTGGAGTTAACGGCGCGCGTTTGATCAAATTATGAATTTTCTGTTATGTGATTATGAATTTTATGAAAATTCATAATCTCATACCAGAAAATTCATAATCGCATAACAGAAAATTCATAATCTCACAACTGAAAATTCATAATCTCATAACAGAAAATTCATAATCTTATAACAGAAAATTTATAATCTCATGGTTCCAAAGTGAATGTGTAGGCATGGTTCCAAAGTGAATGTGCAGGCATGAATTCATAATTTATGAATGTCCGTGATTTCGGACGGGAATATGTAGGCATGGTTCCAAAGTGAATGTGCAGGCATGAATTCATAATTTATGAATGTCCGAAATTATGAATGTAATGAAAATTCATAATCTCATAACAGAAAATTCATAATCGCATAACAGAAAATTCATAATCTCATAACTGAAAATTCATAATCTCATAACAGAAAATTCATAATCTTATAACAGAAAATTCATAATCTCATGGTTCCAAAGTGAATGTGTAGGCATGGTTCCAAAGTGAATGTGCAGCCATGGATTCATAATTTATGATTGTCCGTGATTTCGGACGGGAATGTGTAGGCATGGTTCCAAAGTGAATGTGCAGGCATGAATTCATAATTTATGAATGTCCGAAATCTTTGTTCACCTCAAATTAAAGTGAAACCGCAAAATGTGAAAATAAAGAAGAAAAGTCACGCAATTAATTTAAAAAAAAAATAATAATAACGGTGTATTAACACCGTTAGAACCGTGTTCACAATGAATGGTGAACACGGTTCCATGGCATAACGTCGGGATATAACGACCGCCAATCTCCATAACCCATTTTCATTTCGTGCAATCTGTTGGGCCGGATAGTTGGGCTTAAATATAAAGAGGAGAAGATATAAGTAAATTATGCTATTGAAGACAAATTATGCCCTAGACCCGTGTCCACAATTACGGGCCCAAAACGACGTCGTTTTTTTTAAAAAAAAACGCGTCATTTAGTTAAAAAAAAAAAAATTTGCGCGCGTTTTGCTGTTAACGGCGTTATTTTTTTTTGGATTATGAATGTACAGTTATGCCGTTATTAATGTACAGTTATGCCGTTATGAATGTACAGTTATGCAATTATGAAATTATGAACACAGAGCTCTAACATTATGAACTTACAATTATGAACATATAGTGATAAAATTATGACCATGGAGCTTTAAAATTGTGAATACAGAGCTTCGAAGATTATGAATGTATAGTTATGGAGTTATGAATGTACAGTTATAGAGTTATGAATCTACAGTTATGGAGTTATGAATCTACAGTTATGAGATTATGAATCTACACTTATGGAATTATGAATGTACAGTTATTGATCGAATCATGAACAAAGAGCTCTGATATTATGAATTTACAATTATGAACATATAGTGATAAAATTATGAACATAGAGCTCTAAAATTGTGAACATAGAGTTTCGAAAATTATGAATGTACAATTATGGAGTTATGAATGTACAGTTATGGAGTTATGAATGTACAGTTATGGAGTTATGAATGTACAGTTATAGAGTTATGAACGTACAGTTATGGAGTTATGAATGTACAGTTATTAACATATAGTAATAAAATTATGAACATATACTCCTATAACGAAGCGGTCTGAAATTTACAAAAAAAAAAAAAAAAAAAGGAGATAACAGTGCCTAACGGCACTGTTACCCGTGTCCAGCATGCATGCTGGACACGGGTCCAACGCATAACGATTGGCTATTGAACTGTCTTCACTTTGCAAGGTGGTCACGGTTCTAAAATTGTTCATAATTGTAAATATAAAGTTAAAAATTTATAAATATAGAGTTTTATAATTATGAAAATAAAATTTTGTAATTGTGCATATAAAGTTCAATAATTCAAATATAAAGTTTGAAAATTATGAAATTAGAGTTAAGTAATTATGAATATATAGTTATATAATTGTAAATATAGAGTTTAATAATTGTGAATATGAAGTTCAAAAATAATGAACACAGAGTTTTATTATAATTATGAACATAAAGTTCAGTAATTATGAACATAGAATCTAGGTGGACACGGTTCCACGGCATAACAATTGGAAGATATTTATCAGGGCCTATGGGCTATTGGGCCTTGATAGAAACGAACCTGGGCTGCTAATAAACACGTGTCGTGTTGTGAGGAGTTAGCGGAGTAACATGAACTACCGATCCAAAAAAAAAAAAGGAAAATGCTTTTGATTGGTACTAGATTGTGAATCCTATTTCGTAGGCCTTATTTAGAAGTAACATATGCAATTTTGTTTTGTTTTTTTTTTTTTTTTGTTTTTTTGTTTTTTTTTGTAATGAAGATTTTATTTAACAAGGTGATCTTAAGATTCTTAACTATAGCAAACTATAAATTTTTTAGTTGTATATTAATATATATTGTGCAAATAATTTAGAATTACAAATAAGTAATTTGATTACAAACAATTAGAGTGTTAATATGTTTGTAACGGATTACATGTTTATTGAGTGTTAAAACTCGTTATTTATACACTTTAATGATTTGTCTTTTAACTTCAACAAATGAAAGGAAAGGTAGTGCCATAATATAACTTATACAATCTAATATATGAATACTTACCTTTTTTGAATTGAGTCATTTATTATCACCACGAGCGCATGTTTCGGATGATCATACATATCCTAGCCTAATTGATTAAAGTATTTTGTTTGAGTATGTCTAGGTTCGGTTGCACGAATATTGTGCATTCAGTGCATGATAGTATTTTGTTTGAGTATGTCTAGGTTCGGTTGCACAAATATTGTGCATTCAGTGCATGATAGATTGATCATTAAAATTTAATTTGGAATGCTACTGACTCTATTACAATGTAATATGGCTTGAACTCACAATCTTTCAAATGGATATCCAACCATGGTACCATTAGATCACATAGTCTTGGTGGTCTTGGTGGCCTATTATATATTCTAACTTCAATAACTTTAAATATTAAGAATGGTAAAAGATTTTATACATTTTATAAAATTATAAAATGTGTCATGTCACTTTATATTTTTAATATTTGATATTATTGTAAATCAATGTTATGCGCGCGTGCGCACACATACACACACACACATACACACACACACACACACATACACATACACACATACACACACACACATATATATATATATATATACTAGCATTTTGTACGCGCGATGCGCGAAAACTTATGCCCAATATTAAAATATTGTTAAGTAACAAAATTTAAAAAATTAGTTAAAATTATGTTTCACAATTCCTTAAAGTGACCAAATATATATATATATATATATATATATATATATATATATATATATATATATATAATTTACAAATAATACTAAGCTAACACCCACATATATGATATATTGATATGTATACACAAATAATGTATATACATATTATTTATAATTAAAATTTAATATTCATATAAATATTTAATTAAAATATAATTTATAATTAAATTAATTGTTATATGATAATTTCAATAAAATGATAACTAAAAATAGGAAAAAGATATGATAGATGTAGGTCTATGGTAAGATTGGTGGATATATTAAATACTAACGGTGTTATAACGGTGTAAGGGTATTTTTGTCCAATACAAATTAAATGTACAACAATCAAAGCAAGATGTATATATTTATTAGCATATAAAAAATGGACAAAAATCAAGGACATAACTTGTATTGACACTTATTATGTTTTTAGATATATATATATATATATATATATATATATATATATATATATATATATATATATATATATATATATATATATATATATATATATATGTGTGTGTGTGTGTGTGTGTGTGTGTGTGTGTGTGTGTGTGTGTGAATTTCAACAATATAAAAAAAAAATTAAATTAAACATTTAAACTTATCCAAATATATCAAATAAATCATGTGTACTGGTAACTAATAAGTTACCGGTTATTCAATGCCCTAAATCACTTAATTAAAATTTTAAAAAATAAAAAAATTTCGACTGTTACCTTCGCAAGAAAAACGATCATCACCTTCGCCGGTCGTTCTGGAGAAGACGAAAGACGAGGGGCCCGGGGATGGGAGAAGATGACCAGGTGATTGTATTCCCCATTGGAGAAGACAACCGGAGAAAAGAATTTTAAGACGCGGTTAGCTTGATGTTCAATGATCGCTGGAATGATGGACCGAAACTTAATGACCGGGTGTTTCAGGTGAACAACCAATCATTTGAGGTTAAATGTATCAAAATTCAAAATGATAAGTTCAAATGTTTAATTACATTTTTTAATGTTTGAATATTTAATTACACTTTTAGATAAATTTTGATGATTTATTTATACCTTTTTCCATAGGATTATACTATTTTAAAAAATGATAAACGTATGAAGGTATAATGCTGCAAATTCATTCTCTTCCGCAGCGCGCCTTCGCATAAAGCTAAACCCACTAATACATATCCATTACTCATTTCATCTTCTCGACCAATGCTAATTAATTATCGTAATTAACTATTTATTTAAGTATTATTATTCCCCTCTCTCTCTCTCTCTTCCTCTCCGGCTGGCCAAAGGCTTTCACCTTCTTCTCTCGGCGCTCCACGCAATCTCTTTTTCTCCTGCTTTTCTTTTACTTCCAAGTAAGTCGTCTCTATCATTCTTTACTCTTATGATTCCCAGCTTCTTATCCGATCCAGTTCAAGGTTCTGTTTTTTGAATATTGAATCTTGATCTATGTTCTCGAGCTTATTGTTGTTTTGATCTGTTTTTTTCTGGGTTATTCGTGTGTAGTAGTGAATTTCGAGCTTTCGAGCTCGTCCTTTCTAGCATCGAGCTCACACTTGCTGTGTTTTCATGTTATGTAGTGAATTTTTGTATGTGTACATGGAAAGTATGGGATTTTAGAGTGAATGAGTGATATGGAATAATTTGTGCTGTTGTTTTGGGTAATTTTCATGTGTATTTGTATAGTTTTATTGCTAAGGATTAAATATATTATGTTTATCAGATTAGCTGTTTTTGTTTCAGATTGTGTTTGGGAAATTAGAGAATCTTAGGATTCTCTATGGAGATTGATGTGTTTTGCAGTGGTTAGAACTTAGAAGTAGGGTTTTTGATAAGAAGGTTGGACATGTTTGAGGAAAGAAGATAAGGTTGGTATCTGTTTTGTATGTGGGAATGGATTTACATGGAAATCCTCAGGGTGAGTATGGAAGATTTGAGCAGATTCTTTCTCAGTTTCTTTTGAAGAGTTTGCATATAATATTGGATTCGAGGGTTCCTGTTCCTTCTATCCGATCTTATGGACATACCAGGGAAGTGAAAAAGAGTGACAAGTGGTTCAATATAGTGTTGGGAGATCGTCCTGCCGCTCTTGATAATTTGAATTTTTGGCATAGAAATTTGATGGAGCCTATGATTATTGATATTATACTTGTTCAAGACAAGGCCAATTCTTCAGCAAAGCAGTATTCAGGTACCACATTAGGGGATACATTCACAGAAACTGTTATAGAGAGGTGGGTTGTTCAATATGAGCATCCGAGGAGTTTGCCTCCTCAAGTCGGTGATTCTTCTTACAAGAAAACATACAAGAAACTAATTATACTTTTACGGTCCCTTTATTCAATGACAAGGCTCCTTCCAGCTTATAAGGCCTTCCGGAAACTATCTTCTTCTCAGAGTTGTGATTTTGATCTTAATTACAAGGTCTCTTCGTTTTCTGTTCCATTCTCTAGGGCGGAGGAACCGTTGATAAAACATTATTCTTTTATTCCCGTTGATGCTCAACATGGTTGTTTTTCTTTATCTTTGACATATCGTGAAAATCTCTCTGACTTCAACCTGGAGACTTCTGCATGTTTTCCTCCAGAGATTATTACAGATTATGTTGGTAGTCCTCTCGCTGATCCTATGAGGTCATTTCCTTCCACTTCATCAGAGAAGGGTGTCCGTGCTACATCATATCCACTAAGACGGTCACAATCATCTGCCTCAGGACCATTTCAGCGTCCCCATAGTTGGACAAGTGGCCTCCACAAGGGGCCCTCTTTAGCTCAGAATGAACAAAGTCTAGGATCTCCACCTCTGTATCGCTCACCATATGACCTATCATCTCCACCTGTTAATGTACATGGCAGAAGGATATCAAACTCCAGATTTCCCACTCACCATAGAACAATAAGCTCTGAAGATTACCAGCTTTCACCACCATTCTCAGCATCTCCATCTCCATCACTGTCCCCTCCTACACACGTCTCACATGGAAATCCTGCATTGTCTCGGTTGTCTTCAGAAACTTCCCCTGTCAATATCCCACACCCAATGGCTAGCAGAAACTCTGGATTCCCTTCTCCTAACTTTTCTGACCCAAACAGGCACTCACTTCCACCTCAATCCCCCAGAAGCATAAAGCATGATTCCTCACATCATGAATTCCCTACTGGAATCAGGTCATTAAAGAAATCAGATTCAACAAGGGCTGGAGAGTCAAGTTCTGGGACTGCAAACCTGGGTCTGAAGGTAGGTCTGCATTCTGAAAATTATTCTTGGCTTTTATTGTTTTTGAACCTACTTGTTTACTTATACTATTCCAATATTAGTACTGTGCCTGGTGCAAATTTTCATTTGTAAGCCTATGGCCAGGTGTTAAGAGATGCCAAAGATGATTCAGGACGTTTCTCTGGTTTGCATTCTTCAAGTGGTTCACCACGTATTGGATTCTCTAGGAGTTCTAGTAGATTATCTTTCCCAGACGACTTGGATGACTATGATTTTTCTTGTCCATTTGTTGTCGATGATGTTGATTCCCAAGCCAGGTACTTTTCCTCTCTCTCTCTCTCTCTATATATATATATATATATATATATATATATATATATATATATATATGTATGTATGTATGTATGTATGTATGTATTCTCCTATATGTTGTCTCATAAGTTTATGACCTTGTTTGTATCCCCCTTGCCCATTAATAATGTGCAAATATGTGAACCTTTGTGATTTGGTTATCTTTCATGAATGGGAAGCCTATTGTGGATCAAGCTCCTTATATGTGAAAAGTGATGGTTTTGGTACAAGTGCTAGCAACTCCTAAATAGGCATGTTGTTTGGAAGGGTGGTTGATTTCAAGACTACATGCTTTTTGTGCATCTTACTACGCTGCATTTCAATTTGTTTCCAACTTAGAGCATTTTCCTTCCTGTTATGCAGTCAAAACCTCAATGCAAAGAAGGACTCAGAATCTCCTTCACAAGCATTCCTAGGAACCAGAAAATCTCAAGATGCTGCTGTTGGTGCGGTTATTCAGATGCTGAAGACAGCTCCTCCATTACGCCAAGATTCTAGCTGTTATTCCCCATCTTCTGTGAAAATCGATCCGGAGGGAGAAATTGGTACTTCTTCCGGGTTTTCTGCTCCTCGAAAGATTTCAGATGCAATGGAGGATCTCAGAGCTTACAAAGAATTAAAGGATCTTCTTCTTTCCAAGAGTGCAACTCAGTCGGTCCGCAAGGCAGATTATTGATTCTTAGCCTGCTGAGTTATTCCATTTGGCCATGTGAGCTCCTAATGGAGATTACCAGACAAGATTTTTTTATATAAGGTTTTGGCTAAAATGGTGCTCTTGATTCTTACTGTAATTGGATATATAGATTAACCAAACTGTGTACATACCTGACAATGAAAAGTAGTCATAGCAAAACTGGTGACCTTTGTACTCTGCAATTTGCTGACATCAACAACTACTGAATGGAATTATTTGAATTGTTTTATGACTTCTTGTAAGATCATTGTACCAAAGCTTCTGAACTGTCTTCTTTTTTTTTTTTTAGTACTACTGACTCTGTTACAATGCAGTATCTGTTATTATTGAACTGTCTATTATACCCATAATTCAAATACACCAACAAAGGAACATATTGTTGGGTAGACGCTTAGAGGGCCAAAGGATTCATAATGTGGTGCTGATTACCTACACAAGTATGTATAATATATATATATATATATATACATATAAAATTGCACCTTCGTGTAACTGTGTATGTTAGTGATCTTTCATGCTTTGCAGACTAACAAGTCTGGAATAGACACCATCAGGTTGTGAGGTGAGGGTTGAGTGGCTTCCCATTTCTACAACACAACCTTTGTCCATAACAACTATGATGTCTGAGTTAACTACAGTGGATAGCCGGTGTGCCACCGTGATCTGTGTCATTTTGGAAGGCGATGATCGACCAAACTTGTGATGCTGCTGTAATGATTCCAGTGCACTCACCACAGCTCTTTCGGATCCTGAATCTAGGGCGCTTGTAGCTTCGTCTAGTAGCATTATTGCGGGCCTTTTAAGCAATGCTCTTGCTATGGCTATTCTCTGCTTTTGTCCTCCAGAAAGCTGGGACCCTTTTTCCCCTACAACAGTATCGTATCCTTCGGGCAAATTGCTTATAAATGTGTGTATGTTTGCTGCTTTTGAGACCTCTATTATCTCTGCTTCAGAAGCTCTTTCGCTCCCATAACAGATGTTCTCTCTGATGGAGCAGCAGAACAGAAGTGGCTCCTGTTGAACCAAACCAATCTGAGCCCTTAACTTTCTGAGATTGTAATCTCTTACATCTTTTCCATCAATCAGAACCTTTCCTTCATCGACATCGTAAAATCTAAGGAGAAGGGCGATAACGGAAGACTTCCCAGCCCCGCTTGGCCCAACCAGGGCCACCTTCATTCCAGCCTCGATTCTAAGGTTGAATCCGTTAAGTACCATTACTTCTGGTCTTGATGGGTAATGGAACTTGATGGTTTTAAACTCGACTTCCCCTTCTATGCTCTCTGACAACGATTCTTCGGGTTTGTCTGGTTCGATCCGTGTGCACCTGTCAAGCGTTTGGAACACGGGTTTTAGAATGCCAATGGCTGATAAAACGGTGGGTATGAGTGTCCACAATTCTGTGATGGAGGGCACTGTGAGGGAGAATATTTGGTATGATCTTATGGCATTCAGAAAGCTGGATTGGTGTCTTTGTACTAGCAACGTCGTGTACCATAAGGCAACAGCGTGGGCGATATTCCACAGGCAAAGAGACGTGCCTTGAATGATCCCGAATTTGATGCTCTCTTTCCTGCTTCTATGCAGCTGTGGCTGCAACGCCACTCTGGCCTTGTTAACCACGTGCTCCTCGTGGCAAAATGACACGACTGTTTTGATGTTGGCTGCAGATTCTGAAGCGAGGCTAACGACTTCAGAATGTGCTGCAGTAGTGTCACCCGAGAAGCCTTTAGCCGACTTGGCTTGAATCAGGCCGCCAATGAAGTGGCATGGCATCACCGCCCACGCTACCAGCCCCATTCTCCAATCGACTATCATGCTCACAGTCGTTGCAATCACTATGGACGAGATGCATTGGACTATAACAGACATTCGGTCCGAGATTATGATCTTGACCGTTGATGTTTCATTCACAATCCTTGATGTCAATGATCCCACATTGTTTTCTGGCCTCTCAAACCAAGCTAACTCATTCTGGAGTGTGGCTGCATGATACAATTTCGATAAGTTTTCATCTTGACTATGGTCACTCAACTGAGCTATAATGCACATGGGCCAAATCACACTAAAAGACTGAATCTAATCAATTAGCTAGTTATAAATCCATATGTTCTTTCTTATATTTTCAATGTGGGACTCTTAACACTCAGAAAGGGAAAAAAAAAAAAGGGAAAATGATACCTGAGTACAAAGAATTTCTGAGGTTTGTCATGGCTTTCTCTCCAACTACTCCATATAAGTAATGCTGCAAAGTATTGGTGAACCATGAAAGAAGTCCTATCGAAGCAAAGATGACCGAGTACCATCCAACTTTTCGCTTTGCATCACTGTCATAATATGCTACTCCAATTGTTATGATGAAGAATCCGAAAACTGGTTTGGAAATGCCCGAAAAAGCTGCTGCCAATGAGCCAATAGCAGTCCTAATCACATCTTTCCTCTGCAAGTCATACCAGATTTTGAAGAATATGTCTAAGTCTTTTCTTCCTTCTTCTTCCTCGTTTCTTGGAGAATCTTCAAGACGTGTGCTTTGAGGCGAGCCCTTTGCTCGATAGCTTCGTTTTCTTCTGCAGTATGTCCCACCCTGCAATATAAACCATTAGAGTAAGTTAACCATTTCAGTGTTTTATTTTAGCTCTATGAAAAGCTTAACCTTTTCTCGGTATCTTGGCTGATGTCCTGCATGGTGAATAAGCTGTTGTAGAATGTACTTTTAGCGATTAACTGATGATGTTTTCCTGTCTGGGTAACTTTTCCATCCTCAACAACTACAATCATGTCTGCATTTACAATGGTTGAAACTCTGTGTGCAATCAAGATGACTGTTCTTCCCTCCATTGCTGCCTCGAGTGCATCTTGAACGAGCTTCTCGGATTCTGTATCGAGGGCGCTGGTGGCCTCATCGAGCAACAGAATTGGCGGGTTTTTCAAGATTGCTCTTGCTATCGCGATTCTCTGCTTCTGTCCACCCGATAACTGAAAACCCCTTTGTCCTACCTAAATTAGTAAACCACATTCTATTATAGGTAATGCATATTGAGCATAATAATATGTATAAATGTTAGTTGAAACAGAACATATCCTTCGATTATGTGGCGGGCGGACCTCGGTTAGATACTGATCTGGTAGCTGGGATATGAAAGAATGAGCATTTGCCATGATTGCTGCTCGTTCGATCTGTTGATCATCTGCATCCATGTTTCCTACTCTGATGTTGTCCATGATGTTGCCACTGAAAAGTGATGGTTCCTGGGAAACCACTCCTATGTTTCTCCTGAGAAACCTCAAATCAAGATCCTTAATGTTCTGGTTGTCAAGAAGAATCTCACCTGGAGGGTTACGAACTTGATTAGGACTTAGAACTAATCGCTGAGCATATACTGTCAGTTTAAACTTTTAGTTAAGACAGAACGATTTCAAACCTTTGATGGGATCATAGAATCTCATTAGTAGTGAGATGATAGTGCTTTTGCCACACCCACTACTTCCCACCAGTGCCACAACTTTTCCGGCTGGAATCGACAGTGAAAACCCCTGAAGAACCAGTTTTTCTGGCCTGGATGGATAGGCAAAATGTACATCACAGATATCAATATTGCCATCAATAATTTCCATGGTTTTCCCTTCTGTTTCTGAACTTATAGTTGCCTTTCTTTGGATTACATCAAACACTTCCATTCCAGCTGCTTTTGCTTGATTGAATATTTGCATGTCTGGGGCAGCATAAGTGAGTGATCTGGAAAACAAGACAAAACACAAAAACAAAGAACAAAACCTTAAAAATGACACTACTTTAATGGTTGGTTTCTGTTTGTTTGCAGTTAAATATGGTTGGTTGGTTGTTTGTTTGGCTCTTACATTGCTCCAAACAGAATGCTCATAACTGCAGCTATTACATCTCCTCCGCTTGCTCTCTTGGCGGTTACGACGACGGCTCCAACCCAAACAATCAGAGCCCAGGAACAGAATGTTATAGCTTGAAACATACCTGTTCCAAACCCCTTTATCAGTGCTTCTTTCTTGCTTATTTTCAATTGCCTCTCTATGCATTCTGTAAATGACCTCACTGCCAACTTCTCTCCAACAAAAGCAAATACTGTTTTGATTTGGGAGATTGTCTGTCACAGAACAGCCAAACGTCAGTCATTTCACATGTTTTCAACATGTTATAGTTACAAACATCAGTCAACATTAGGCAACCCCAGTCAAGTTGGTCAAACTATCGTCTTAGTAACCATAAAACTACAAATTCTACTCCAGTAAGAGTCACTTATTAGCCTTCTTAGTTTGAGTCAGTCAACTATGGGTATTCTAGGCTGGTTTCCTTTAACGACTAGGATCACAAGGCATGGTTTACCAAGTGTATATGGTTGCGGATAGTTATGGACAACCGTTTATCTCCTTGTGGTCCTTTGACGGCTAGGGTCACAAGACGGGGTTTACCCAAGACATACCCTCAAGTAGTGGCTGCGTGTTTCCTTCATCATCAAGAAAAAAAAAAAAAAGTTTACACATTACCTGTTCTACCATTGCAGTGGCTTCTGAGAGGTATGTGGTTTTGATAACTGAAATGGAGTTCATTTTCTTAGTGTAAGTAGCACCAGTTAACAGTATGATGGGAACAACCAAGAGGGCAAGCAGAGACACCTCCCAGCAGGCTATGAAAGCGATAAAGACACCCGAAAAGAATGTGGCAAAGCAGGACAAGAAATGCCCCAACTGTCATCCCAAACGCATCATCAGATCAGACATTATGAACAACAACAACAGGATCATCATATATTCATATGCAGTGAGTTTTTCAAGTTTGAAGAAATCAAGAATGTATGTATACCTTTTCTCCAATAGTGTCTTGTATGACTGACATGTGGTTGCTAATTCCTATGATTATTTTCCCAGTTGTTAAATCAGTATCAAAAGTTCCAATGTCCTGTCTGAGGACTGCTGTGAAGAACTCCAATCTCAGACGCGAAACTTGTCTCTGGCTTGCATACATCCAGCATCCTATCTCTGTGCACCATGCAAAATCAACACTCCTTCAGTACCCAAAACAACTTATGGATTAAATTAATCCCGGTAGCCCAAATTACTTAACCCCATAATAATAAGAAATAAATAAATGAATAATAAAAGGGAAAAGACAAAGAATATATGCCGCGGAGACAATTCTTGTATTAATGATAGTGTTGTAGGAAGATTACGTGTAATGATTGAACATTTGAACATGTCCTA